GTCTGATCGCTATAAACTCAAAAACTACTGAACGGAAGACTGCAAATCCACCACTAATACAAAATACATACATTTTTCAAATGGCTTTAATTTCGATAGTAAAAAAATAAATTCTGAAATAAAGCCAGTGTCCCTGCCGCACGACATAAGCAAAATCAACCGTATTAGTACGGGATAAATTTTAATTCGAACTGAGGTAGTATCGAAATATTCAGAAAAATAAAAGAATGTTTCCTTTTAAGTAAAATTACATAGTTCCCCTTCATGTCCCATTGGTTTTATCCACCCTGTATAGGACGATGAACCCAATTATTGCCTCAATAAATTCAATTATTGGCACACGTTTTATCTTTCAGCTATTTTTAACCGACCTAAAAAAAGGAGGAGGTTCTCAATTCGACTGTATGTTTTTTCCATTTTTTTTTATATGCATGTTACGCGATAACATTTGTGAACTGATTTTGATGATTCTTTGTTGGAAATGAAGAATGGTGATGATGTGGTCCCATTTAAATTTGAAGAAAATATTCCGCCTCTAAGGGTGGCAAACTAGGTGATGAATGACTTTTGAGGTCGATTTTTTTAGTGTTCTGTATTGTTACTCTAGATAGTTTTCGGACTTCGAACTTTAAGGAAAAGGAGTGGTGATAATTGTATTGATAGTGATGCTTGTTGATAAAAACTGTATTTTTGGATTCTTATCGATTGGTTGATATACGTAATTATGTCATTGTTTAAGGTGTGTGTCGCAAATATTTATTGTAAACATTGAATGTTTGTCCTCCTTTCATCGCTTTGTAGTTCGTTTAATAGGAAGATTGCTGACTATAGTTAACTTATTTAATGAAAGTATAATAATAGTAAACAAGGCTTACAAGTATAAAATTGTAATATTTTTATGCCACAAACGATGCCTTATATATTTACTTGTTACATCAGTTAAAAACGCCACATCCTCGACACCGTCTTCATTCGTTCTACATTCGACACCGTTCAATCACGCTTTGTTTCTGTAAAATGATGCCCAAAAAATTGGCAAACTCACTGGGAGACCTAAGGGCTCATTCAGAGTGCAGGCGCGAACGTGGCGGTGGGTACGGGCACGCGGGTCTTGGCGTCTTCCCTTTCACAGTGCCGAAGCGGCTACGAGCGGGTAGATTCAGACGTTGAAATCGCAAACAGACGCTCGACGTACTGGGCGGACCGAGTCAAAAGATCTACCCACGCCCGCAACCGCCACGACACAGGCGCTGGCGTGCGCGGCCACTGTGAAAGCAACGAGTGTCTACTTATATATGATTTATACGCACCCACGCCCGCACCCGTGCCCGCCGCCACTCTGAATAAGGCCTAAGAGCTGACGAGCAACCTTGCGTGGCGTAATATCATAGATACACCTGAAACGCTCGGTCTACTCTACATCGATGATAAGCTCCAAGGAGACCCCTCGACGAAATTGGACACGCCGTGATAAATCTAAACAAGCCTGGGTCCAAAAAACGTATAAGACCGAAAATCAGGTAGACAAATAATATCGCCAAAGATTTAAAAAGCTGCGAAGAGCTGCCATATTTTTGAAAACTTCACGCTTAGGCTAATTACACATGGAACAGTAACAACTGCGGCACCGCGACCGCCGCCGCTGAGGCGCCGTAGTTCTTGTCGTCCTGGATTTTTATTATTATCGCGGCAGATTTTTATTATTGCCTTACCTATTTATGACGCTATGCGTAAAGTGGGCATTATTGTGTCCCGGTTTTGAAGGGTGCTGGTGAAATTACAGGCACATGAGACTTGTCAATTTATGTCTCAAGGCGCAGTGGCGGCAGTGCCCCTCAGATCTTTGTGATTTAAAGCCAAACAGTTATGGGCAGGTATGTCGTTTACCACCGGGCGCACTATCGTGAGAGACAAGTTGATAAGTCTCATATGCCTGTAATTTCACCAGCACCCTTCAAAACCGGGACACAATAATGCCCACTTACGCATGGCGTCATAAATAGGTAAGGTAACAGATTTCCATGCACGAAGTCTTTCACGAGGAGCTTCACTGCCACTAAACTGTAAATGACAATGTCTTTATTTCAATATGACGTAAAAATATAATTTATTAATAACTTACAGTGAATGGGATGAACTATATAGCTAAACATGAAAGCTAATCCAAGGCGATTGCAATACCATTCCTTTCCAAAGCTATTGGATTCCGGGCAAAGATATTTAACCTACTTCAAGTTGTGTTGAAACTCGAAGTTAATAAGAGTCTTAAGATTGATATAAACGATTAAAGGAATTCGTATTGGGTGGGTACAGCAATAAAGTCTATATACATATATAAATTTCTTATGGGAGACGGTGTGAAAGTACTGTAAATATTGTAGATAAAATATTTTCCTTCATGATGACTTTATTTTATTTTTTAAAGTATGAGTAATAGGTACTGAAATCAAATACTTAAAAATTGTTTGTCTCGTCTGAGAGCCGAAATGATCACAGAAAAATAAAATATTTACAACCTGTATTTTTTTGATGCCGATTCGAATGGGTCTAAATGATATTTTGCTGTTCGAATCCAACCTTGAGAGTGGAAAAAAATTAGTTTCCATAGTCTAAGAATCAAACACTCTAACTTACTTGGTACATTTTCTTTTATTTATTTCGTTTCATCATCTCTTTACAACAAACTGGACATGGATAATTTATATAAATGAAACCTCATTTGGCAACTGTTCGACGGTCACGATCAAAGAGGATGACGGTATATTTTTTTCTTTTGTGGCGTCATGGGACTGCCGAGCCGATTTGAGTGTGTTTAATCAAAATTCTTGGATGTGGGGTCGACCCCTACATCAAAGAATCCATATCGATATAATGAACGGAACGGAAGTGAATTTATTTGCTACTCTGCGAACCCAATGAAGGTTGAATCGTGCAAATTACATGCGCTTGTGTTGAATTTTTTTTTACGAATCCATTTCATTTCAATCGACGTCTTCCAAAGGATTAAAGGTCGACCTTTATCGTCTCGGTTTTAAAACAATCAAATTAACTTTTTTAATTTCTTTAATTTTATTTATTTAATACTATCGGTTAGTCGGCATAAAATGAGCATACCTGTGACGTCATGCCCCAACGCCACGACCCTTAGGATATGAATAATAAGAAATATATTTTAAATTAAAGTACATGGCTATGACTGAAGGCTCAGATTCGGTCTGAGGATATGACAGTGCCTTCAGGGTTATTTCCAAAGAGAATTATTATTATTAGGTTATTTTCATTGGCAAAATCATTGATTATTTCGATGGGGCCATAACGTTTAAAAGAAGAAGAAGGTTATTTCGCTAGAAATTTTCTTTAGTATAATTCTACCCTAAAATTGAATTATTGTGTTTTCTCTATAAATAGATTTCGTGGTTGTCACTAACTACAAAGAAATATGCAACAATATTTAGGTAATAAGTATAAATTAATATCGTCTGAAAACTTCGACGATTTTATGAAGAGATTAGGTATGTATCCGTATAGTTGTCTGGTCACAGTCATTTGTATCCTTTGTCGACCAACCCCCAGAACTCTTCGATATTTTAACCGAATCGTTCGATTGGATATCGTTCTCGAATCGAAAATAAACCTAAAATATAGGAAAGCGATTACTCGAGAAGTTCGAGTATTCGTATATTTCGGTTCGGTTTCGAATACTACAGTTTGACGTTCGATTCGGGTGTTGTGAATAAAAATGAAAAGAAATCGTACAATATCAAATCGAATCGGTCGACAACTGAGTTATCGTAATGTTCTGAATCGACGCAGGTCGATTCAGAACACTACGATAAATAAAACAAAATAAAACAGCTAAAGCAGCAGCAAAATAAATAAAATAAAATAAAACAGCTGCAGAGCTGTTTTATTTCAACACTCACGATACCGCAGGTTTGTGCGGTCACGTAGCCGCCGCGGTTGCGGAACGGTCCGCAAACTTGGCGGGAGAGGATCGCGCGGTTATTTACGATCGATTGAGATCGTAAGTTAAGTCTCAGACGTCGCCATGGACTCACGTCAAAAACGAGCTATCGCGTTATAGTTACTTTATCGAGAATTAAAAGAGAAAACTTAAAAGATTCAGGGTGCATCCTCTGATTCCGGAAAGAAATCGTTACGGATTATTCGTTGTCCTTATTAATGAGTTAAAAAAACAAGAAGAAAGAAGAAGAAGAAAATTCTTTAATTTTATTCGGATGTCCGTATCTACTTATTCAAAACTTAGACAAATGGTAACTGGTAGGAAATTAATTGATCGACTTCAACATCCGTAACTTGAGAAATTGACACGCGCTGCCAAATCGAAAATCAATCACAAAATGGCGTGGGAAGGAAAGACCCAACCCGCGCGCGTGTCACGTCTCCCGCGAACCGACCGCAGAGTGCGCGGGCGATGCCCGGCAAGCGCGCGGGGGTGACCGCGTCCTGCGCGGTTTGCGGCCGCCGCGAGTAACCGTCTCCGCTGCGGGCGTAAATCGCGTCGTGAAATGTACTACTAAAGGTTGCATACATTTTTCGGAGGCCTCGGTCCCGCAACCGCGGCGGGCGCGGGTGAAAACCGCTCCATGAGTTCTTAGCCTTAAAATGAAAAGAAATCGAAATCGTTTGATGAATAAAGTCCTATTTAATTTAATATGTACCTACTGAACTCTATTAAACTATATAAGAACATGTTCCTCTGTTGGGCTAGAACGTTTTGGGAATCGACGCAAACTTGGTTACACAGGGCCAAATCAAATCTAAAGCCTAGCGAAAAAATAAGAGGGACGACAAATTCTCCCGCTATTTAAGCCACGAGTACCGCCGGTTGTTGTCTATACTTTTGTACCCTACTCGCATATGGCTGAGTTCTGTTGCTTACGTATTTATGTAGTTTATTGTTTGACTAAACTTACTTCGTAATTTACGTTTCGTGTTTTGAATGAAAATATAAAATTTTATAATTTCTCCTATTCCAGGCGTAGGCCTTATTACCCGCAAGGCGGCGAACGCAGTAACCCCTACTATTGAGCTACGCAAGGACGGAGACCATTACATACTGGTCACAACATCCACCTTCAAGACCAGCGAGATAAAGTTCAAACCCGGAGAGGAATTCGACGAGGAACGCGCTGACGGTGCCAAGGTATTTACAACTTAGTATAAAGTTCATCCCTGTAGATGGTTACAAAACTACCAGTGTTAGAGTTGACCCATCGAGTATGTAACCAGAAATAGAGACGAAATATTATTTAATTTGTTTGAAAACTATTCTGCCAAATCATTACGGTGACAATTGCGCTCCGATTGGCCAGCCCGAATTCGAAACAATTGACGGGACACCCGTCAATTGGGTGACGAAAATTTAAAAATACATAGTTAATTACCGATGAAATGTGATTGATTCCGTTTATTTTGTAATTAGATGTTTTGCTGTTTTTCCCTCATCACCTCATGGAACAGCCCCAATTGTTAGACTTATTACAATAACACAGAATATTTTTGGAATATACAGAAACGTACATGCTTCAGGTCAGTTGTTGGCGCTGTAATATTTCAGCTTTCTATTTTGTGATTTCTGCGCAAACGAAAGTTGATATTTAAAACTTATTTAAGGCCCATTCGCCTGATGAGTTGCCAGTGATGGATGGCCCTTATTTCGTCTCTATTTCTGGTTATATACTCGATGGGTTGACCTTAAAACTGTACATTAGTGGTACCTTACAAAACTACCGGTGATAGGGTTGACCTTATACATCGAGTATATTACTCGATGACCTTATAAAACTACAAGTGACAGTGTTGACACGGTACTGCTGAATTCTGGATTGAACCAGCACCATCCCCTGCACTGATTATTGCCTTAACTATGGCCAATGTCGAGTTCGAGTGGGCGATCATAACAATTTGTTAATTTGTATGCATTTAAAAATTCACTTTAATCTTCTATTTCGAAAGGCCTTTTTTGCGAAGATCCAAAAGTACGAATCATTCTGTCCTTTCTCGATAAGACGATGTAGCAACATATTTCAAGTAACTGAAACAAAATATATTCCGACCTCGTGGGAGCTTGTACTCACCTACTTAGGTGTTCTGCCGTATGAAAGTACCTAGAGCCACTTTGGAATGTCATTTTTCTTTATAAATTAGTGCTGTTAGTAATTCAGTTGAACGTTATATGTATAGCTATTGCTTGATTGATTGTGAGGTGCTTTACTGATGCATACTTTTGCAATTTCAGGTAAAGTCAGTGTGCACCATCGAGGGCAACACGCTGAAGCAGGTGCAGAAAGCTGCAGATGGCGTAGAGGTCACTTTTATCAGGGAGTTCGGCCCTGAGGAAATGAAGGCCGTGAGTATTCGAAACCTATATATTCAAATCAATACCCTGTTTTTGGCGTCTCAATTAGCGAGTAAAGTGGGCCGGGGACCTGACAAGCGGTAATAATATTCTATTCAGGAAATGAAACTACTTTCCGGATTGAAATCGCGTTTTTTTTTTTCAAACAAACCAAAGATTCGGACCCTTTACAGGTCCCATAGCCACGGTTGACGGAGGTGGTAAAGTCATCAACCAGTTAAGTCTAATATTAATGCAAACCACCCTATTTTTTCACTATAGTTACAAAAGTTATTAACACGCGATTTAAATCCAGAAATATAGTTTCATTTCCTATGTGTAACAACCGCGAAAACATGAACTCAATATTCTATTCTTTTTACCGTTCGGTGTTGCTGTTTCAATAATTGTTTCTGCTAATCATTTATTAAAAGTTTGCTAGGTTAATTTAGTGAAATGCTCAATTATCTAAATTGAAAAAATCGCGTGTCTGCCCGTCCATAGTCCTCTTCTTTTTGTTGCGTCTATGGTACACACTGTAATAACAGGGCCCAGAACTTAGCCACGCTGATCACGCCACAAGTTGCCGTCGTGTTGAACTGTCCGTCTTTCGATTCGTCATTTCATTCGATTTACATATAATAAATTTTAAAAAAGAACTGTAGTCAAGTTGGGTAACTTTGAACTTTTCTCAGGTTTTTACGGATATTAAAATAAAAATGTAGAATTTGTCAAATATTTCATTGATTAATAAGTGGCCTTTCATACCCTAATTTAGAACAATTTAACTACAATGACTAATTAGGAAAAATCATTTGAGAAAATTACACCTAAGGGGCTGTTCAAAATAGCCCTGCCCTTTTGGGCAACGGAGTTATAGTGGACAGCGAAAAACTTTCTTCATTGAGAATTTAACTAACTTGGGTAAGATTTAAACTCGTATTTTGAATGAAAGCTACTTAGATTTGTCAAACAAAAAACTTTCCATAGCGAACAAGTTACCATACCAACAGCAGGGGATACCAGTTACCAACTAGTACAAAAAAAAAAACTGAAGCACGCTCTTTTCACTCGAACACCAGGAAAGAAAAATGGCGCTAACTTTCAAAACTTATTATTATTTCCTTAATGGCAACTTCTTTGATAACTTTCAATGTTATGTCACATTTGACAACAATCTCTACTAGAGAATGAAAAAGCTTATGAAGCAGTTTATACGTGGGTGTGTGGGTTTATACTATAAGTTTCCGGAATGAATAACAAAAAAATACTATAAATGGTCAGAAATGAATTTATTGTTTCACAAAATATTCTCCGTTAGCGTTAATGCACTTTTTCATACGAATGAACCAATTTCGAAAACATTTATGCCACTCCTCCGTGACAATCTCTGAAACATATTTTTCATACTCATCGACAGCTGCTTGAGATGATGAAAATCGTTGACCGCCTAACTGCGCGTAAAATTTTTGGAAATAAATAAAAGTCACAAGGTGCCAGGTCGGAACTACACGCGGGATGGCTCATAAGGCCAACGTTGTTCACCTTCAAAAATTCATTTGTGTGTCTGGCCGTGTGAGAACTGGCATTATCGTGGTGCAAGATGATACGGCGTTTACGGTTATTTTTACGGAGTTTGTCTTATAAATTTCCGGCAAACCAATGGTCGTGTACTAATCACTATTCACGGTATAATGATTCTCCAAAGCAATTGTAGCCACGTGTCCAGTTTTATTAAAAAAAGAGAGCTTAGAGGCACTTTGCACGCGCGCCACTTTGGTTGGTTTCGGCTCATCTCGAAAGACCCATACGCTCGATTGCTGCTTTGTTTTGGGATCGTAACTATAAATCCAGGTTTCGTCACCTGTTACTACGTCTCATACCAAATTTGACGCCCCGTCGTTGAATCTGGTAAGCATGGCATTGCACCAAGTGACGCGAGCCGTTTTTTGAGCCTCAATCAAATTGTGTGGGATTCACCGAGAGCACAGCTTTCTAACTCCCAAATGTTTGTGTAGTATTGATTGTATTTAACTCATGCCTATGCCTAAAGATGTCCGAAATATCATAGTGGATCTGGCCTGTCTGTTTTGATCATACGGCGTATCGATGTTTTTGTTGTTCACAGCAGTGGACGGGCGACCATCACGAAATTCGTTACTAAGATTCACACGACCGCGTTTGAATTCTGCAAACCAGCTATAAATAGTCGTCTTGCATGGTGCTTCATCGCCAAAGGCAGTGTGAAGCCGAGCGAAGCTCCGCTGAGCTATTAAATTACATTCAAAGTCGTAAAAAATGATACAACGAAAATTTTCACGAGTTAAATCCATGGTGATGTAGACAATCAATTTCTAAAATGACGCTACAATATAAAAACAAGTGACAGTCATATGAAACAAACTGAATTCTACAGCCAAAGAGTTCCATTTTCAAATGTTGCAATTACTTTTTAAATATTGCTTATGTAAGTGGCCAGTTTCGGAAACTTATAGTGCGCCCTTTGTAGTTACATCATTGATATTGATGTCTAAATGAAAACTTATATGAAAAGTAAAACCAAAATGAAGAAGATAAATGAAGTATAGACTGAATTTCTTGACGCCAAAGCCGTTAACTCTAATTAAAAAAAGAACATTTAACATCTCTATGTAGGCTTGTGTCAGCTTGGTCATTAGAGGAAGCGATACCAATTAGTTCGTTCGGATCAATGAACTAATTCGGTCTTTTTGTTTCTTTCGTTCTTTCAGTTCCTTAGTTCAGTGGAATCAGGGAATTGGAAGGGGATAGAAACCGTTTCGGTCTTTGAAGGATACGGAATGAAATTATAGATAGAGATAATTATAAACGATTTGTACATTTAAATAGGAATGTTTCATTGTTTTCCTCTTTTTGCTATTTTATTATTATTTTGATGATACGAGCTAGCAAAGGTTCAATCGTTCATTTCACTCGAACATGTACTAAAGGTCCTTAAATTATCTCGTTCGCTCCATCTTGCCTCGCGTCTGTGAACTGAAGGAACTAAAAAGTCAGTGAAAAAATAATAAGATCTCCTCGCGTTTGTGGCTTCGCAAACAGGTCCCATTCCGACTGAACTCAAAAGACCGTACACAAGGAACTAGTTCGTTTCGGTCAGTGTCAGGAACTCATTTCTAATAGTTCTTAGTTCATGAACTACTCAAGCCTAATCTTATATTATCTTTTCGACTACAGGTTTTTAAGATATATAAAAGAGTCTTCAAACCAGTTTTATTCAAGTTACAAGGACATTCAAAGTTACCCAACTTGACGGTACTACAAGAAAATTATTTCACATCTGCCTTTTTTGATACCAGGTAATGACCGCCAAAGATGTCACCTGCACCCGGGTTTACAAGGCGCAATAAGCGAGCTTCAAAGACTGCGGGCGCAGCCCTACAACTTGTCCTATTAATATATAGCACAACTATTCATTAAATTATGTTTATTTAGTTTCGTATTTCGTATGATATGGACGTCGCTTGACTTAAAATATTAATTGCGAATAAACTGTATCATGAATTCATTTACGGCTTTACTATGTTGTACGAAACTTTATATTTATACATAGTCTGGTTTATGGGACCCAGTATTCACTAATATGCGCAAGTGACGTCATAGTCAATATAAATAAGCATGTAAATTTGGTTTTTATTGCAACGTCCTGAAGTTTTATTTTTGTACGCAACGTGTTTGCCAAAGTTAGGTTACGGACTCGAAAGTTTTACGTACAACCGTTGTATAAGTTTTTCAATGCATATTTAATAAAAATCGTTTTTGTATTACAATAAAACGTATTGTTTTTTTTATCTCCTTACCTTTAGATCTATAATCTATCCTGTGTTATGGGTTTATGCAACACCGCACGACTTTTCGTACGACAGTGAGTGTCATTGCAATACCATTTATCAGCACCTATTTACAATCGCAATAAATTAACACGATGTTATCCAAATTATGAATAAAATCGTGCCGGTAAAACAGCCGCTTGTCTTCTTTTAAGTTGGAATAATATAAGATCATTGGCGGTACGCGTCATATATGAATATTATTTCCTTTTGGATTTGTCATAATGGTGAAAAACGGGTTCTTTTCTACGTTGCCAGATGGCGTTTGGAGCGGCTAGCTAGATCTTAGAGGATGGAAAAAGTCTAAGAGCTAGATCTTAGAGGATGGAAAAAAATAAGTTTCCATAGTCTAAGAGCTAGATGGAAGGCAAAGACGACGATGTAATGACTGATGACACAAATAAAAAAATTAACATTTTAAAACAGAATAGACAAAAGAAAGTTTATCACCTCTTGTGTTGCTATTTCCGAGAAAAAAAGTATGTAATTTAAAAAACGTCATTTTTTGTTGTTTTTATGTTCTAAGTTTTTAGGTCGTTTTATAATGTGACTGCCTACTTTGTGTCAATGTCCTGTGAATCCGTAACTGGGGCTCAATTAACATTGCTGGAGAATGGAAACTCTGTGACGGAAGCGTTCATTTCGCATCGTGTGGCGAGAAGAATGCTCAGAAATTTTCACGACTGCGCCTTGGGACTGTAGTACATACATAGATTATTTACTTTTTTTTTTAATGACAAGGATGATGGATATCGCTTTTATTTCGGTTATAAAACTTATGAAGCAGAAGGATACCTAAGTGAAAAGGAAGGAGCAAAGAAAAGGGGTATTTGGGTTCATGATATAGGGAAGAAAAGAAAGCTTTTTGGCCAGTTCGCAACATTTTGCAAAGATTTTATATTTCGTCCATAGACGCTTGACGCCTCACTGAGCCAGACTGAGCTTCCCTTACCAACTTTCCCGCGGATTCGCCAGACATTTTTCGACACTTTTTTTGAGATTTCCCAAGAATGCACAAGAATTCTCCAAAATATACGCGACCTGTTTTTTGATCCTATATAGTCTGTACATTCCCCTATTACGCTACGAACAATTTCGTTATAAAAATTCGCTTCATTCTGTTACGCAGTCATGTAAATTGAACCCCGAAAATTCTCCTTGGAGTAGACGAGTACCTATCAGAGTTTTATTTATAATATCAAGCGGGACGAACAAGTTGTGCGTCTGATGGTAAGCTACACGCCTGTCCATAACAGTTACAGTGCCACTCAGAGCTTTAAATCGCAAAGATCTGAGAAGCTCTACCGCTGCGCCCGTCACCCTGAGGCATAAGTCGACAAGTCCCAAGCTATTTTAAAGAGTGATGTAGTATACATACTATACGGTACTGTACATACTATACGGTACTGTACATACTATGGGTTTTTTATGATAAATATTATGGTGACGAAAGTTCCTCAGTATTAAGTAGAGTCACCATAAGACTGAGGAGCCCATTGGTAATAAGGGTCACTGGCAGTTGAGATGCAAATTGATTACTTTCGATAACAACTGAAACATATTAGCCCACCATATACGCAGTACAAATACTCTACATTGCATACAAGAGCAAAAGAGTACGTTCCAGAAGGGTAAGGCTACTGGAGAAATTACAGGCACATGGGACTTGTCAAATTTCTCTTAGTGACACTGTGGTAGACGTGACACCTCCAGACCGTACAGGTGAGAATGTAGTTTTATATTTTAAAAAATAAGCACTTTTTTACTTATGCTTACTAATGCTTCAGTTCGCCAACCCTAAAATGTATATTTTAGGCATAATTTTAGGGTTGTTAGTATTACAAGATAAAGCTCTTAATAGTAAAGTTTTTCTAATTCTTTTCTCTGTATAGAAATTCGTCAATAACGATCAAAGCCCTAAATTTATATACTCGATGCCCTAAATAAATAATGAGGAAAAAAAAAGTCAGCAGAATGGACATAACAGTCTAAATTATGAGAAATAGAAGAACAAGAATATATTATTAATAAAGTGCTAGTCTAGTAGTAGTATCTATCAACAGTAGATGCAGCGATATTTATAGCAGAGAGAAGTGGCAAGACTAGAGGATAAAAAAATATCATGTGGAGATTCTGTAACCGCTCGAGCTTGTTGAGTAGGTTTTCCGACAAGTCTGGATGCAATATGAAGTAATTTTTTGGATTTGGTACTTTCATAATAACGACATCTAAAGGTTACCTAAGTTAATTAATGCTACGACATCTTGCATACTATAAAGCCATGTTTCAGCTACTCGGCAACAGATGGCGGTGCTCAACCGTTTTAAGAATGTGTAATACTGCTTATCTTATAGAGTAGGTTATATACTCGATGGATTATTTATATAAATTTTATCTATGTTATACTAACTTGTGCATAGATTAGGCTTTAATAATATTTAAAGCATGTATAGATTGCATATCCCAAGCTTGATAAACTCGATTGACCTCCAGAAGCCACGGATCCCAAGTTAAAAATCTTATCCTTTAAAAAAGTAACATCATTGTTTATTACTAATATACATCTGAATTTATAAAATGTGAAGAATTTAAAAATAAAATCATGAAATAGTACTTTCGAACGTTACTTTATTAACTCATTATAAAAATACATTGGAAATCAGTTGATGTAAAGATGAAAAAGTTAATTAAATTTTATATGTAACATGATAATTATGGTAGTAATTTTAAGACAATATTTTATTAATAAGAAACTGAACAGTAAATAAACAATAAATAAACGCGGAAAATTTTTTTGCTAAATTTTTAAGTAACACTAAGTCCTTATATTATAGGTATTCACATAATAGCATCGAATGATTTATGACAAGTATTACAATTCATGATAATAATTTATAATTCACTCATCAATACAATTCACAAGTATATTTCCTCTATTACAAAAAGGTTTTAGGTATACTTAACCAACCTTTGATCACTAATATAAATACATAGGATTTTTCCTGGATTGTTGCACAATTATTTCTTATGCGAAGATGAGTTGAAATTATGGCAGTTTATCAATATTGCATTAAAACTAAAGCAAATAATGTGGCTGAAAACAGAAGTCTTCGACAAATAAGGTCAACTTTTATCTCGGACATCCGCCTCCACAGCAGCCCCCCATTGGCGGGGGAGGTGGACCTGACCCTGAAGGCCCGAACCCTCCGAATTTTCTAGAAGGTGGCTTCGGTGGCCCGCTGCCCGGAGGTCTAAAGTCTCTTACGTACTTGTCACCATGCTTGCTGTAGTTTGGGTTGATTAGCGTCTGCACTAATAGATACAGGAAGTTAAGAATACCCCAAAACCACGCAAGTGGATTGAATGGATTCTGGTTTACAACCGTGCCGTCTCCTTTTATGTACATGGTTTGTTATTTTTATTCACTTCCACAGACACTTGTTCCGATTTGTTGTTTGTTAACTGATTTTTGTAAGAATTTTGTTGTTTATTGTTTTCTTTTCGAATATACGATGCGTTACGTGTCACACTCACAGTATTACTAATCTGTAACTGTATGTATGTACGTGTACCAATCTGTCAATTTATTTTAAATGTGACGGAAGCACATCTTCCATTGAAGTTTATGTACGTAATTTGGTATTGGTGAGTTTTCTGAGGCCGTTAATGGATAATTATAAATAGTCTACTTAACGCTAGATGGCGTCTCTTGAATTTTTTTTTAAATTTATTAAGGCTTTGGCAAAGCCATAAGCCTAAACACGAATTGTTATAATTGTTACAGAATTTTAAATGTAATTAAAAAAAAAAACTACGAAAGTTAAAAAAATAAATTAAATATGAACAACTTACACTATTTTAAAAGTGCTATTTACAAATTCAAATATTACATTATTTAAACTTGTGTGCTTTAAAAGCTCCTGTACAGTACTGGGAATTGTTTTATATTCGAGAAGGTCTTGAGTTAAAGATATAAGTAACAGACGTTGTAAAGAAAATTGTGGGCTGTCAAAAAACAAATGATTAGTGCCTTTTGAAAATCGAGTTTCCAAAGCTTCACTGCACGTTTTGACAACTGTGATAAGCCCCCAATGAACGACGAACAAAGTTGGTACATTTTATGCTGCTAAATTGTAGGAGTCATTGGGTTGTTGACAATGTAGTGAACTCAATGCTGAGAACAAATTGTTAGGGTTATAGTCAAACGAGCGTTGCACGTCTCGTTTGGTTTGTGTTTAGTTTATGCGGACTGCGATAGTAGTACGGAACGCGATCGTATTATCGACAACATCTGTCAAACATATCTCCGGAATTCAGTGTATGGAAGCGATGGATTTCGTGAAATAATTATGTTAATATTATAAATTTTTATGTGAAACAGTGCTTATACCGATGGAACGTTAATTTGTGTGGATATCATGCGAGGAATTTGTTCATTTACTGTGTTTGTGTGTAATTAGCTTGTGGCATAAGGATTGTCTCGCTTGGAATAAAAATACGCTCAAGTAAGTAAATATTTACGTTAACTGTTCTTACAGGGACTTTGGACAAGTTCAGTTGGGTTTATTTAAGCTTGTTCAGTACTATATCGCGTGTTGAAGCCCGTATACTACGTGAGGTAGAATTAATTATTTATCGCCTACCTGCATGCTCTTGGTACTAGGTACTACTATCTCGGAATATCATCTTGGACCTTATTATAGTATGTTTTATTATTAGAGAGCTTACCAATACCCGTCAATTAAATTTCCACCAAAATTTTCTAGAAATTGAATGTATACCACCCACCTTAAACGACTATATCTCGTTTAAAAGCA